TGTCATCAATGCTGCCACATGGCCAATCCATCTTGTTGGGCGTCTTCCTCTTTTTCTCTGACCTCCAGCTTACCCAGCATGACATCCTTCTTCAGCGACTGTTCCCTCCTGACAATATGTCCAAAGTATGAGAGATGAAGTTTAGCCAATTATCTTATGATTCAGCAATTCCTCTCCTTGGTATTTACTCACAAGAAATATGAGCCATAACACGAGTAGATATGTGCACACCAATGTTCAGAGCAGCACTATGTACAACAGCAAAGATGGAGACAGCCAAAGTGCCCATCAACTGAAAAATGGATAAACAAACTGTAGTACATACACACAATGGAATATTATGCTACGTTGAATAATAACAAGGAAGCTGCAAGTCACCACATAACATGGATGAACCTTGAGGACATTATGTTGAATGAAATTAGTCAGTCACAAAAGGACAAATACTGCATAGAACCACTACTGTAAAAGACTAAGAGAAAGAACCCATACTAAAGGGGGGTGGGATTCTTTTCTGGTTACTGGGATTTGGGGGGTGGGCTGAGCAGAGGGAGGGGAAGGTAGAGCACAGGGCAGGGAATAGACACAATACAATTTGGGTGCTGTGGAGTGGGGCAATATACAAGAAGGGGGAGTGGAATGGAAGAACAAAGCAGATGGGAGAATAATTAGGCAGGTTTGCATGGGCTAAGTGGGACAGAGGTAAAGAATGATGTATGCACAACCTTGGAAAAACAGGGTTCTGGGATACAAGGATTTAGACATGGTTGGAATGGGGAAAGGGGGGGAAATAATGTTAAGATGCTTGGCTGTGTTTTGAATTTTGGTTTCCCTTGCATACCATTATAAAGTAGACACTTGAGGGGGAGAGAAAGGAATAGCCAGAAATATCAACATAGAAAGCTTGTACATCCATCTTCTGCCTATAACTGATTGGAATACCTAAAATAGGACTACAACCATCATGCTGAATGAAGAAGGCTTCCTGCGGAGCCTCTGTATTACATAAGACCATAGGTGGAATCCTGAAAGCATCCAGAATCTTCTGAGGTGGGAAATTTCCACTTGAAAGGACAAGCAGACCAGCCTAAAGCAGCTAGAAGAACAGAATATACTTCTTGAAAGAAAGAGCAACAGGAAAAATACAAAACAATATAGGCAATATAGGCAGACAAACTGATTACAACAAGAACAGGCAAATTGTTTGCCCAGGAGACATCAAGGCAAATGGTAGGGCTCCCTCAGAGCAAACCCCCTTCCAAGACTAAGACTCAATGGGAATACATGCTCTGATTGGTGACCATGTTTGTCACTGATAAGGGGAAGTGAGGGAAAAATAGCAATGAAGCTGCAAGCTAAGCCCTACAACATTCAGTAGACTCCACAGGGTGAAGACCTGGTTGACCAGCAGTGTGGCAAGACCTGGGGACTCTTGGGCCCAGAGTCAGTGACATAGTCACAGATGACTAGAGTGGAGAGTGAAGCATCCAGCTAATAAGAAGAGAGGAAATATGCACAAGAACACCCACACTTGCAGATAATACCCACTTGACCTGGCTTCAATGACCAGATGATCAGAGCTCAAGTAGAAGAAGAAAGAAGAGGAAAAAAAGAGTAATCTGATAAAACTTGATGAACTTGACCTACACCTTTGGACACAGTAGCTCAAAAGAGGGAACAAATCTTTACAATGAGGATCATTCCCACCCCCTCCATACACAGAGTAGACAGGGATGGGAAACTTGGATATTGACCACCCAAAGTGGGGGTGCTACAAAGGCAAGAAGTGACAAGCTTACAAGCTTTCAAGAGGGAACCTAGATCCAGAGGGTGTGGAGGAAGGTAGAATCTCCATTGAGTAGTATTCAGTCTGTCTAGGCAGGGCTGATGAAAGGAAATGTGGATAGGTCACTTGTGATACAATAGTGAATAATTGTTATCAGGACTGATTGTGAGGGTTGGAAATGTAAAGGTAGATGTTTTGTAGCAAGAAGGGGAGTGATTAACTTTTCAGTCGAGGAGCGGAGGTCCCCGAAACCATCAAAGGAGAAGAGTGGAGAGCAGGACCCTACCCAGAGAATCAGTGATGCCAGAGACAGAGGCAGAGACGGTGACATGGAGAGATGGCGCAGCTGGGAACTTTAGACCCAGAGAGGGAGAGGAGCTGTGTGCTGACTACCGGGGGACAGGCTTGCAGGGTATACCCTTTGGTTGTTTGATGATGCATGGAGGGGATTGTCACCATGGCAATGAAATGATATATGATAGGATGAGTATAAAACTGATGCTCTCCCATGTAAATTATAGTCTTTGATCTTATTCAATAAGTATTTTCAGTCCTCTTTGCTTTCAGCAAGCTAGACTATATCACCTGCATATCAAAGGTTGTTGTTAATGACTCTTCCTCCAAGATGCCACGTTTTTCTTCATGTAGTCCAGCTTCTCGGATTCTTTTCTTAGCCTATAGATTGAATAAGTATGGTGAAAGAATACAACCCTGGCGCACATCTTTCCTGATTTAAAATCATTGTTTCCCTTGTTCTATCCAATGCTTCTTGGTTAGTGCTCTGGAATACCCATTCTTTGCAATGTTACCCATAGTTTGTCATGGTCCATATAGTTGAAAGCCTTTGTGTAGTTAATAAAGCACAAGTAAACATCTTTCAGATAGCCTCTGCTTTCAGCCAAGATCCATTGGATGTAAGCAATATTACTAGTTCCGTGTCTTCTGAATCCAGCTTGAATTTCTGGCCATTCCCTGTCCTTGTACTGTTGTAATTGTGAGGTTGGCCCAGTGTTTCCTTCTGTTGTACATAGGGTCGCTATGAGTTGGTACCGACTTGATGACACCTAACAACAAGAACAACAATTCTATCTACTTATTTCTTCTAAAAACCAGACTCATGTTCTGTTGCTACTAACCCTCACCCCATCCCAAGATCCGGAACGTTTTAAAGAATCTTCCCTGACTACCAACTAATTGGTCTAATTGCTTATCCTAGGGATTCCTCAATTGCTACTTTCTTCCCTATATTTTAAAATCACCTTCTTATTCCTTCTGAAGCTCACATCAAATTATTCTTGACCCTGCCCTAAATATGCTGGTGTGTTTGTGCCTTGGTTAAGGCCTTTCCCTCCATGGCAAATGCCTTTTTATCCATCACAACTTGTAGAAATTCCACCCATTCCTCAAAGCATCTACTCTCTCTACTCTGGATCCCAACGATGCTTTCTTCCCCGAAGCGCCTGTCTTATGGCAGGAACCAAATATTACTTTCTATTAGATTATTTGAGTAAATGCCTTAATGCCACTACTGGACGCTAGAAATTACATTTGGCAAGTACAATAAGAAATAGTTTTAAGTTAAAACACCAAATTTATTGCATAATATTGAACTATTTGCACACACATAGAAAATAAACATTTTGTGTAACTGTATATCTTTTTTTAATCTCGTATTATAAAGACTGAAAAACTACCAATTTAGCAATTGTAGTAAGTTTAAAAAACAAAAAGAAAAAGCAAAAATCTACAATCCTTCATTGAGATTTGAGGCTGTATCATGGTTCATAAATATTTCATTTTATATAAATAAGTCTTTTCTCTAGTTACTAGGAATTTAAAATGAGGCTGACACGGGTTCTTTGATCATGTAGACGGTTCTCCAGTGGTGAGGGAAGCTGCAGGTCATTATTTTAGAGATACACATACTGGATTCAAACACAACCCACCCCCTCTGAAATCCCACTGTAAACAAACATTGCAAATGAGTTCAACAAAATTTCCATAATAAAGAATAGCCTTCTGTCTTAACAATTAGGGAAGAGGAAAAACAAAATCTGAGTAGATATTTTGCAATTTAAATAGAAAAAAAATAACAACAACAACAAAAAAGGCTGCATGCATCCACTAGGAGGTGAGGAAGAAGCATTAAGTCAAGTAAAAAAGAATGGGATGGAGCCAAAAAGGGAGGAAAGAGAACAGAAGAGAAGGAATGGAAGAGAAAGTGGTTAAGAGACACAAAGTGATAAGGAAAATGACAAGAAATTGATCATTTCTAATTTTCTTGGAGAAGATACCCCAAACCCAGCCCAACCCACTGTAATGGAGACTCATTGCAATCCACAGGGTTTCAGAGGAGCAGAAAGTCTCATCTTTCTCCTATACACAAATACATATATAAATGCAACTTGCTCCAAAAATGAAATAATGGAAGGGATGGGGGAGTCTGTCATTTCCCTTTATTGTCAAAGGGGCATGGTGGAGCAACAAAACAAAATTCAGCTCAGCTGCAACTTTAAACTGCTCTGCCCATCTTTAAGGAGGCCCAGGAACTAGATACAATCATAAGAAGGTTGAATTTCCCTCAATAACTTTTTTTTGCCTCTAAACAGCAAGATGAGTTCATAAAGGCTCTTATAAAGTCTCTAAAGTTCAACCAAAATAATGGACCCAGACTCAGCCTCCTTTTGGAACTGGGAGTTTCTGAAATAGTCCTTGCCTCCTTTTGGTTAGAGTAAGGCTGCAACAAACCAGGCCACTACCGTGGCTTTAGAGAGAGGAGACATTCTGCATGCACAGGTAAAAAGACAGTCAAAATCATACTTGCAGAGGAATAGAAAGTTATGAGAAAGACGGGGACACAATGTGAGGAAAGATCAGGGCTTGGAAATGAGAGTTTCTAGAACCACTGCCATCTTACCTAGCAGAGTACAGCATATTCACAAATGTAAGGAACAACTGGATAGCTGATTAAAAAACAAAAAGAAGAAAACTCCTATACAAGGGCCATTTTGCCACCCCATTCCCAACCCCCAATTTTGCCAAAACATTGTTTACTGTTCACAACCCTAGAAACCACACCAATCAGGCTCAGTATTCAAAAGTCCCAATAAACTTTTACGTTAAAAAAATATAAATCACGTCCCATGATTTTCTGTATAGGTCTCAATGGTATTCTGAGTGGACACTCAGGGAGGAAGAAGAAAGCTGGGGAACCTCAGGCCAAACTGAAACCCTCATAGTTGTCAAGGGCCTGGCTCAGTCGAACGCTCAAAATCTCTTTGCTGCTGTACTTGGGAAGGTCAAGAAGGTTGTAGCAAGTGTGGGCCACTGGCAAATATTCTTCCCCACTGGCTGTGGACTGGATGACAATCTGTAGGCTCGCCATGCCATAGATGGGAATCCTATCGCTGCCTGTCAGGAACACTAGAAAGAAAGAAAAACAGCATTAACAGCAAAGCGAATGTTCTTGACTATCCCACTAGGTACAGACAGGACCGTACGACACCCTGTGGCTTGAATGAGAAGTGCAATTACTTTTAAGTGCTTATACATGTCCAATGGAATGATGCTGTTAATGCCCTGAATCAACTTTTGCCCTCATAAATTTCATGATCTTCCAAAGCCTTGATTTATGAAATCAACAAGGAAAGGAATTAATGACATAGGACAAGAGCTGCTGATCTTAGAAGGAAACCAGGAAGTTGACCAGCATCTATAAAACAAGGTCTCTCCTTTAGATCCAGAGAGGGAGAGCGACTGTGTGCTGAAGACCTGGGGGGTAGGGGGGTGGGGGGGAAGGATTGCATGGAGGGGATTGTAAGCATGGCAATGAGAGACAATATATGATAGAATGAATGTAAAACTAATGTTCTCCCATGTAAACTATCACATAATTCACAATAAAACATTAAAAAAAAATAATAATAATAAAAAAACAAGGTCTCTCCCCTCAAAGAGTCTGGTGCTTGTGCCATCAAACCAAAGTCCCATCATTGCTCTCTTTTCCTTATTCTTTATATTTTTAAACCAAAAGATCTGGCGCTGAAGAATATTAGACACTTCACTGTGTGATAGGCACTCTAACTTGGCCAAATAAAATAAAAGCATTTGTCTGGTTTTCCTTGTTTTCTGGTGCTAGATACTATTCTCACAGTTGAATTGTTAGAAATTACTATGATGAAATAATTAGTTACAGAGCATTTTCAAATAACCTTCCACTATATGAGACTGCCATATGTGAATATTCTTGCTCAAATCTCTAGAGTTAATGAAAATTTCCATAAATCAGATGATTTTTTTGGATAAGGTACAAAAAATAACTTATTTTAAGTAAATCCCCAGTAATGAGCTGGCTTCTCTTAATTAAATGCCACAGCCCTACAAGCTCATTTGGCAAACCCTGACCTGTCACTCCATTCATATGCTACTAGTTCTCTGTTTACATTTATCTCTGCTCCATGTGAGTTGTAGCATCGAGGGGTAAGATGTGCAATAATGTTACTACATATTCTGTCTTATAATGCAGAGCAGACTGCTTTTCAGATGATGTCGTTGGTTCTAAATGGCTAAAATTCTATACTATATCCCAATTAATTTATAAACCTGGTTATACAATGACACTAATGAAATTTTCAACTGTTTTGAAACTAGACATCAGTCTCCTTCTCAGATATATTAACTTCCTCAAATTTTACCCCGCCAGTCAAGCCTAGCCACCATGTATCATGCGGTTGGCTCCATTTATCTGAAATGCCCATAGAGACAGAAAGTAGGTGGCTGGGTTCCTAGGCCTGGAAGGGTTAAGAGAAAAGGAGGAATGATTGTCAACAGCTATAAGGGTCTTTTCTGGGTGATAAATATGTTCTAAAATTAACTGTGGTGATGGTTGTATACCTCTATGAATATGCTAAAATCCATCGAATCATACACTTTAAAAGGATGGATTGTATGCTATGTGAATTCTATCTCAGTAAAACTATTAAAAACCGCATTTCCCCAATTCCATTTGCAGTGGAAAATTCTGTAATTTATCAAAACTATTCTATCTTATAAGTGTAATACTTAAATAAATCACTTGCACATAAAATAACTAGGAATGTTAGATCAATTGAAAACCAGTGAAGTTCTTCTGCTCTTCCTTTCATGCAATCCCTCCTAATAGGCAACACATATGTATTAACAACACATGCTGTGTCTGAAATTTCAGTAAGACAAAAAACGTAACATGTACTTCATTGCTTATACTTTCCCATTTAAGAGTCTAACCTAAACCACATGCAAAACTAAAATGTGACCAAACACCATGTTGAGATTACTTATACGTACAGAGAAACTTCTTCTTCTTTTCTAGTGGAAACTCATGAAATGTTTCCCAAAATAGTCTCACAGTGGGATGTGTGGCTGAGTAATCACCCTTGTAGATGGCTGTCTGTACAAACATGAAGAAAGAAAAAGGATGGCTTACAAAATAATATTGGCTATTTGTATGCCATTTGCATTAGAGATAAAGAATAGGTACAGAAGTGCAAGAGGTCTCTAAATCATACTCAACTTAAGTACATTTCCAAAGAGACCAGGCTTGGGGACACCTACTGAAGGTGCTGCCGCTGCCCCACAGTTAAAAGGCATCATCTTTTGTGCTTACCTCTTCTAGTTCATCCCAGTTGTAGTTGCTGTTCCCCACCATCATGGCCCTCAGTTCTGAAGGCTGGAAGAGCTCAAGTACTTTGCCACCACACACTTTTAGGAAGCCACTGGAGAAGGCTGTGTACCACTCATGAACTGAGATTTGGAAAATATAATTCACATAAGCATCCACAAACTCTTGCCTGCCAAAAGACCAAAGAAATAAGAGCATATTAAACCCAAAGTCTTCCTGAGTTAATGAAGTTATTTCTCTTTTATACTATTATTGCTGAAGAGATTGGAAGTGATAAAAAATGGAATGTCATTAAATTTCTCACACCAGAAGGCATCTTAAAATCTTTATAGGTTAATGGTTCTCCACTCGGCTCTCCCCACCTTTTCTCAAACCCTAGGATTCCGCCAAAGAGTCCCAGGTGATCTTAGGTTAGGATAGGCCACGTGAGAAGGATAGAAAGGCAGGTAGGTAGAACCATATTACTGGTTTACTTGAGGAACTTCAATTATAAACACTGTAAAGGTCAAATTATTTAAAGGTAAATAAAATACTTTTTTCTTGCTTAAAAGTTAAAATATTGGTGGCTAGGCTGCTTCTTCTGTCCTCAGAAATAATGAAATAAAACCATCCTAGACATTTATATCTCTCACCAGTTTTACAAGATAAATCCCCTAACTCTTTTCTATAAATCCCTTAACAACTATGGAAATAGCTGTCTCAAACGATGACTCCATCTTACAAATCATGTCAAGTGCAAATTAAGGCAAGAGTGAATTACCATTTGTATCCATCATATTGGCATAAGTTTACAAGTCAGATAATACCAATAATGGGGAAGATGGGGGGGAGGGAGACTGGGAACCTCACTTGTAGTAGCCAGTCTTCACAGTGAATGGGTCAGCATATCATACAGCTAGTAGGAATGCCAGCAGTGAGCTGACAGGCATGAACATTTTGGGTGGAAATTTTGTCATATCTAGAAAAGTTGAAAATGTGAATATGCTTTGAGTCAGCTACTCTATGGTCAGGTGGGTAACCCAGACAGACTCTCACATGAGTGCAAAAGAAGACAAATACAGGATGTTCACTGCAAGGTTTCCTGGTAATGCAGAGAAATAAACAAACCTACAAACCAATTGCCATTGAGTTGATTCTGACTCTTTGCAACCCTACTGGACAGAGTAGGGCTGTTCCATATGTTTGCCAAGACTAAAATCTTTACAGAAGCCGGCTGCCACATCTGGAACGCCTGGTGGCTTCAAGTCACCGGCCTTTGGGTTGGCAGTTGAGTGCTTTAACCATTGTGCCAGCAGGGCTCCTTATTTTAAAAGTATGTAAAAAAAAAATCATAAGAATTCTGTCTGGGTAAGAAAGGGATGGGAAGAAAGGAATGAGATTAAGGGGATGTAGAAAAATAACTTTAAGAGTTTTCGTAATTTTTTCTTTTACTAAAAATTACAAAGCACATACCTATGTCTGGATGACAGATATAAACATGCTTGTCATATTATTCTTCACAGTTTTATATATTTTAAAGTTTTCCAAATTAAAAAAAAATTGACATTATGAAAATAGATTGCTTCTACTTAGCAATTATAATAATATAATACATCATAAAACTGTACTTGAAAATCTTGACCCTCCTCCAATGTGATACTTTTTCCAAGGTTACCATCTGTTCTAAAAATTAGCCCCAAACTAACCAAAACCCCAAACCAAACCACTGCCAAAGTTTCGATTCTGACTCAGTGATCCTGTAGGACAAAGCAGAACATAGTTTCCAGACTCTAACTCTTTACAGGAACAGACAGCTTCATCTTACTCTTGTGAAGTTGCTAGTGGGTTTGAACCACCAACTTTGTGGTCAGCAGCCCAATACTTAATCCATTGTGCCACCAGCATTCCTTAATAATTAACCAAGAGCTGGTGCAATGCACTGGATAAGCACGTGGACTCTAGAGCTGGGCCAACAGGTTCAAATCTAAGTTCTGCCACTTTCCTGTATACAAGCCACTAAACTTCTCTCATCTTTACAATGGTGTAAGTGTTCTGCTTATTTGTTTGTTTTTGTTAAAAGAAACTACTGTAAAAAAAAAGATTTTTGCATGTTTTAGCAAGAGATGTCAGACATTTCTCACAGTACAAACGATGCACACCATTCCTGGAACTTTCAGTCAAAGTCACTCATATTTTTCTCCTACAACTATCCAGAGAAGCACTATCGGCATGTTTTTTAAAATTACAAATCTGTGTATCAAATAGTATTTCTTTCAAGACATTATTTTCTTTATTAATGACCACTAACCATGACAGTGTTTATTCTGCAATAAGCCTTGGATATATGTTACCTCAGTTAATACTCAAGACTACTCTTTGAGTGTATTTTATGGTATGAGAATTATATTTCAATAAAAATAAATACACAAAAATCTCTTCAAAAAACATAATTACTTGTGATTTGTACGACCATGATTCCAATTTCAGAACTGAATCTTGGACAAACAATTATGGACAGAGGGAGAAATGGAGACCAGGTGTCTGAATCTAAAACTTGTACTCCCCAACCACTCACCAAACATCCTCCTTTTCCTTATCATTGCTTATTTTAACTGTCAATGTAATTGTTGCCTGGGAAGTATGCAAACATAGAGACTATATATAGCACGATAACTCATCGACATTACTCATAAATGTTTCATGCAGCCCCAAATGATGCAATTCCATAAAGCCCACAGAATGGGACAATGCTTATTTACTTGATATGATTGCTAAACACATAAATTTAAAGAACTAGGTAATATACACATTGTCAATTGTGTTTAGATGTCTGCATCAAACCCATTGGAGTAAGGGTCTTTAAAAAACTAGTCTTGTTTGTCAACATGATTCTGAAATGCATATGGCAAGACAAAAGTACTATAATAGTCAATTTTTTTTTTTTTTTTTTTTTTTGCAATAGAAGAACAAAGCTGAAGGGCTCATAGTACCTGGTACTAAAAGTTAGTATGCAGCTACAGTTATTACGTATGATCTGACAAAAGGATAAACGCATAAGCTCAATGGAAAAGAACATAATGCAGAAATAGACGTGTACACATTTAGTCAACTGATTTTCCACAAAGAAGCAAAGGCATTCACTGGAGAACGGATCATGTTTTTAAGAAATGGTTCAGGATTAACAGGACATCCATATGCAAAAAAATGAACTTGGATCCATACCGTCGATACATACTAACTCAATATGAACCAAAGACCTAAACATAAGACCTAAAATTACAAATCTTCTAAATAAATTTATTGTGGCTTTTGGCAAATATTTCTAAATTTTAAAAAAGTACAATCCGCAAGAGAAAAATAAATCAATGGACTTCATCAGAATTAAATGTTCTGCTCTTTGAGATACTGCAAAAAGAAAACAAAATAAACCAACAAGAAAGAAAACCCAGAATGGTAGAAAAAAATTCCAAAATATACATCTGACAAAAAAAAAAATCTCAACTTAGAAAATGGGCAAAATATCTGAATAATCACTATTTCAGTGAAGATATACGAATGGAACCTTAGTTTTATCATTCATTGTTAAGGATACCACTACCCAGCAGTTGCGGCACAGATGTGAGGCTTTCTGATTCCACAAAGATTTGCATGATTCCATCACAAGAAGAACAAACAAATCTGTGCTGGAAGATGGATTGACACAGTGGCAGCAGCAGTGAGCTCAACCATAGCAACAATTGTGAGGATGGTACAGGACTAGGCAATGTTTCATTCTGTTGTGCCTAGGGTTGCTCTGATGACACCTAACAACAACAATATACAGAATATGGACTATAAAGTACCAGAAAATCAAATGTATCAAAATATGACATACAAAAGGCTAGTTCAACTTCACATCTTGACATCCTGAACATGGCAAAAAGCAATAAAATAATTACAAGAAGTTAGATGATTATTGCGACCACTGTTGTTAAGTGCCATTGAGTCAGTACCCTACAGTGCCACAACAGGACACCATTTTAACCATAGAGTTATCTGAAGAAGCAAGAACAAGAACAATCTAATAATATTAAATATTATATTTCTGATATCTAGAAATGAAAGGCAGTCTATAAAATTTTTTTTGAGGTCCAGTAAAAGCAAAATTCATTGAAACAGAAATAAGGGGTGCATTGTTGTTGTTGTTAAGTGCTGTCGAGTCAATTCTGACCCATACAGACCCTGTATAGGGTTTCCAAGGAGCAGCTGGTGAGCTTGAATCACCGACCTTGCAGTTCAAATGACTTTGCAGTCTGACGCATTAGCCCACAGCGCCACACCAGGACTCTGAGGAGTACATTATTATGAGGGAAATTTCAGCAGGCAGGTGATTATATACACAGAAAACCTCAGAGAATCAACTAGATTTAACAACTAGATTTTAAAAATCACTAGATTTAACAACTCTAAAGAACCGATTAGAAATTTGATAAACACACAAAACCCAGAAACTACTGCCAGGTACTAGTATTAATCAGAAGTACTGGTGCAACGCTTTAGGGTAAGGTCAGCAGTTCAAACCTACCAGCCGCTCCTCTGAAACCTTATACAGGGTCTCTGTGACTCAACAGTTTAACAATAACAGTACTAACAAAAATATAATGGAAAAGTCCCTCTTCATAATAGCAAAAAGGAACTAAAATATTTATGTTGTTGCTAAGTACCAGGGTTTCTGAGGCTGTAAATCTTTATGGGAGCAGAATGCCTTATCGTTCTCCCACGGAACCATTGGTAGTTTCGAACAGCCGACCTTGAGGTTAGCAGCCCGATTCGTAACCATTACGCTACCAGAGATATGTATAGGTGTCTCTTATGCTGTCTAAAAAAGGTATTTGAAATGAACCAATCTTTGGTTTTGCAGAATTCTATCATGCGTTCTTCAGCATCATTTCTATCGCCAAGGCCATATTTTCCAATTACTGGTCCCTCCTCTTTGCTCCCAACCTTTGCATTCCAATCACCAGTAATGATCAATATGTCTTGATTGCATATTTGATCGATTTCAGATTGAAGAAGTTGGTAACTTCTAATGTTGTTGTTAAGTGCCGTCGAGTCGGTTCCGACCCATAGTGACCCTGCACAGGGTTTCCGAGGCTGTAAATCTTTACGGGAGCAGAAAGCCTCATCTTTCTCCCGTGGAGCAGCTGGTAA